TGCAGATGATGTGTGCGTTAGATGTGAGTGAAGCATAAAAAAAAAAAGGGAAAAAAAGCACACACACATTTAAAAACATCGTGCATGAAGCACAGCATCATAAAAATGGACTTGCCTTCTGTCAGCTGAGTGTCAATGTGGTGCTTTGATGTTCCTCTTTCTAAGAAGTGTTCCCAACTGAGGAACAGTGTAGCCTGACAGAATGAGTCGGTAACGCGGTTGGAAAGCACCACTCTTACTTAGAGAAAACTAAAAATAGGTTGTTTTCTTTCATCCTAAGCTCAACCTGTGTAGACTCCCATTATTCTGCTGCAGCTGAGGCTGAAGAGTCGGAGAGTGACCACCTTGATTGGCTGTAATGTGTTCAGCTAAACTTCACGTCCTCTTATTTCCCTTCAGTGTCCGTCCTTTTGCTTCCCTGTGTCGTCATAAGGAATGAAAAATTCTCAACTCAGTTGGATGTGAATTTACCTCAGTTTGCACAACTCTGCATGATGTAGCACCATCCCTAAAATTTATTTTGTGTGTTTTTTAAAAGCAGTTAAAGTGATCATATTTAGTAATTCCCATATACATTAGAATTCTTGTAACAATATGGTTATGGTCACTTTTGGTCTCTCTACATGGCTAAGCTGTATTTAAAAGATGGATGTAGCCAATGACTATGAAAAGTCAATGCATAAGTGACTTGATCTGCATTCTCTCGACTGGCCAGCAGACGGTGGAAAGAAAAGTGAAAAGAAGAATTGTAGTCTATAAGAAAATGCCCCTACTTCTCACTTGAATTGTTACCTCAGTAAACATTTTGCTCATGAGATTATGGTCTCAATTGCTAGTTTCAAGTATCTCTCCATTTAGCATGATGTTAATTTTGTAAATTCTGACCCAATTTAGAGTAAAAAAGCTGAACAGGGTATGTTTTAAAGCTTTTCTGCTTTGTGATTGACAAGCTGCTGCCATATGTGGGTGCACTGTGTCCTTAAGCTCTCAGTCAGATCCACTCATCATGCCTGGTTTCAAACAACCAAGTGACAATTGCTAAATCCCAAAGCTGAAGCTTCAAAATGATACACAAACCACTGGGTGATATCACAGATGGCCAAGTCCATCTCTCACATACAGTCCATGGCGGATCCAGGTTCGCTGGCTTGTTGAGGTATGGGGAGTTGGCTAGCCTCTACCAGGGTAAGAAAAAATAAGAAAAATGTGAATTTTTTATATGCTGTGTTCAGCTGTCTTGCTACAGGAATCTTCTGCTGTCAGAGGTGAAAGGGGAACCACTGAGCTTCAACACAGGCCTGTGTGCAGTCACTGTGATTAATGTTGAGCCTGCTGTGGTTTCCATAAACTCTAAGTGGTTGTTGTCGTCAGTAATTACCTGCAAATTTTAGGCTGCTTTTCATCGAACCATAAAGCCAATAAAAGTAGCAGTACCTCCTCCAAGTAGCAACATAGTTAATTTGTGACCCACAAAACCTGACCTCTTTTTGCTTGGTTGCCTTTATTATGCAAATTTTATTTGGGAATTGGCACCTGAAGCTGTGGTTGACATGTCAGCAATATTTGATTGTTGTGGTCTACCTACATGTAAGGTCAACTCCTCCACATACAAGCCACAAAGCAAGGTGTGATCCATCATCTGTAATAAACTGGTTAAACAGCTCCCTTCCTGTGTTGTGCACCTCAGTAGAGAGTTTCAGAACCAGCATTTACAGTTAAACCTGTAATTTACGTCAGCCGACACTTCTGATGTCTCCGTTTATGTGAACATGCTGTTTTGTTGCTTCCCATTTAAACACCGTCATGATGCAGTGTGTTAATTTAATTCATAACATTTCCCCACGGGACGAGGCCATTAAAATTTAAATCAGAGTCTACTGTTGCTCAGTCCAAAACACTTCGTTTATACCTTCAAACAGAGAAAACTCCCAACACAAAGCTTTTGGCTTAATGACAGATTATTACATGCCTTTGAGACTACTCCATCTCCTTTCTATTTTGGGTTTGATCACTTGCATGCTGGTGTTTTATCAAAATGTCAGTGCCATGGTTGGTTGATTAGAATCGCTTCACAGCAACACAACAACATGGCACTTGCTCAGACTTGCCAGCAGGAGCCCAGAACAGCCTGAGGAGCTGATCATGACGGCAGGGATTGGGTGTCACAAAAGGTGACTCACAAGAGTGCTGCTTCAGGAAAAGAAACTCCCTGTGACTTAGGACATACGTTACTTAATCTACACACACCCAGATTCAAGACACAAGCGAACAATGGTGCAGATATCTTGTTCTTCAAGGCTCTTTTCAGGTGTGAAAATGTGGAACTACCAGAGGTGTGTGAATATCAATAAATGACCTGAGCATCTACATGTTATCACGCGCTGCATGATGTAAGATCGTGATTGCATTAGCATAGCTTCCTCTAAATCTGTGTCAATAAATCGGTAATTTGAAAGGTGGGGGTGTAAAGGAGTCATTTAATTAGACTGCAGCATACATCTACTTCAAATTAGGCTCATTAAATAATCTTTAATAAGCATCATATTAGGGCAGAGATGGTTTAATTTCCTGACTTAATATCTGTGATGCACACAGGATTGAAATAGAAAGGACTGGAAAAGAAAACAAAAGTTTTATTAAGTAGCCACATTATTAATAGAACTTGCTAAGAACATGTTTAGTTTTTGATAAAAAGAATAAGCAAATATTTGCTCATAAAAAGATGATCAGATGTGACTGACAGTTCAGCATCTTCTCAGAGATAAATGCTTCCTCTGATTTTGCACACTGTGAAGCTTGAAATTGAAAACAATAGCCTGTTATCAGAGTTTCACTTCAATTTAGCCTGTTGGACGCTTAGAGAATAAAAATGACGAGGCAAAATATCACAAATATAAATGTAATGTTATTTTCAGGTTTAATAATAACAATAATAATGACTCTTAAACAAATGAGATGTTTTTGTGCTAATCTAACAGCTGCAGGTTGTGGCTTCATGTGTACAGATATGCAAGTATTGTCAATCTTACCTGACTGAGCAAGACAGCTAAAGAGGCATTTTCCCCGAAATGCCAAGCTGTTCTTTTTAACGCCAGAGATTATACTCAACCTGAAGCTGCAGGCTGGAGGAGTGTCTGTTTAACCACCTGTGTTGCGTGTATCCGAGCGTTTAGTGCTGATGTCAGTGTGTGTGTGTTTTTATTCTATGGTGTCATTTAGCCAAATGTTATTTTGAGCCTTTGGATAGTTGATATGCAAACCTGGACTGACCAGAAAATGCTTTGGGGCTGATGACATCCGTTTTCTAAGGTTTCTCTTCCACAGGGAAGTAAAAACACATTCCTCCTGTCAGGCTTGTGTCACACTGCAAGTGTGGGAGTCTCTGTCCATGCAATGCTTATCAGTTCAATTTTCCTCATGCAGAGAGTGGAGAGTTTATTTACATTTTCTAAGGCTGTATGTTTAATTTATCAGTCCAATGTGCGATCAGAATTCTGAAATCACTGAAAGTCTCTATCTATGAAATGTCAGTTTCACAAATGGAAAATAGAAATGTCTTTAGAGGGCAGAATCTTAACTGCCTAATCCAGACAGCTAAAATTAGTCCATCACTATAAAAAGGATCAGCTTTATTAAAAGACCATCTTACAAGCACATGGTTGGCTTTTATACACCCACAACCACACTGTCATTTTTTATTTTTCTATGGAGCATTACATGCTTGAAAAACTTTTTTTTTAAAAAAAGATTACAAGCTGAGAAGCAAACAAATGTTAAATAAAACTGCATTCAGCATTCAACTCAACACAACAGCTCCATTCATGCGCTCCTTTCAGAGTAGTAGTTTCAGGCAGAAAAACAAACACTTCAGGGTAATTTATTCCGTAAATCTTATTTGTTTTCTGCTTGAAACAGAGAGAAATGTAGCTTGATAACAACATTTGGAGCTGAAGGTTAATACAAAGGATTGGAAAGCTGTGGTCCATTGATAAGATGTGGACTAGAACGATTTCCTGAAGAGCGGCAGCCTTCACAAAAGAAAAACCTGTGTTCATGTGTGCCATTTGAGCGTCAGCAGTGAAAATGTTAATACTATAAGAATCCATTGAAAATATTTTTGCTCAAATCATGAGTCACGAGCAGACGATATGTACCGTAATTGTGACACATTGTGACACACTTTGAAAATGACTAACTCTTGCCTCCATTGTTGCCTCCACTTACTCTACAATAAATGCAGCAAACATGTTTTGAAGGTTGTTTTTATGATACATTATTTGTTTTGTGGGTGATAACACGTAACCGCCATTGAACAAGTTGCCACCGGTCACATTTGTGCCTTTAAGGAAATACTTGTTGAGTTCTCGCTAAGTGACTTTGCTAATTGCAGCTTTTCATTTGAAAACACGTTACATAATGAGCCAGTTTGTCAAGACGCGAATTTAGCGCTGACCTGCAAAGAATGAAAAATGCAAATCCATCCGTGCACATGTGCTTCATTCATTTATACCCTCCTGAAAATAAGCTTAAACAACACAGTTCTGGGGAGCTCCACCCTGATGTTTCAGCACATTTGTCACAGGAGTACAGTGAGTAACTCTTCCTTGGTGTCAGGTTTACTTTCATTTGCAGGAATCTTCATTTTTGAGAAACTTCTGATTGCAACATTCTTTAAAGCAGCTTATTCTGACACTCATATAATTCAAGAAATACAAAGCGGTGAAACACTGGAGCAAAAATGAGGCACTATTGTCTCAGTTGGTGCGCAGTTTCACAACTCTGGACAAAACAGTTGGAGGAGTCCAGCGTCACAAACACTAAAGTATTCATTAAAGCCTCTTTACATCTGTCATTATCTTGATTTTCTTCAGTGCGAACTTTGTCCCCAGAGAGAGGAGGGGAGTGGCCAAATGCCTCAAACAGGTTTATGGCTGCCTGTGAGCAACTTTCCAGCCAGACTATTTGCATGTCAAAACTGGAATCCACACCCTCCATCTGCAGACTGCTTATCATGTTGAGACACCTCCTTGTCTTTGTTTCTTCCAGCTGGCAGAGAGTAGCGTCTCCAAATATTGAATATAAGCAGAAAGTATATATATATATATTTATATATAAGAGGGATATTCTGGGAGCAGTCAAGAGGAGGTTCACAATCTAAATGTAAGTCACTGTTGTCGAGTGTCAGATAATGATGTTGTGACTAAGCTCAGCGTGCTTTTAACGTCTCTATTCAACAAGAAGCAGCAGCTCAGTAAGAAAGTCAAACAGCTCAAATGAATTCTCTGAACAGTGATAGAGTCTGTGCATACATAGGCTGTTTGTACAAATGTATGATGTGCTGATTGTCTCAACAACAAAAGCTGCTCAGTCTTTTGTAGCTTGACATGTCTGTTCTCTGTATGTACGGCACAGCAGTGTTCCCAGAGGATCTTTGATGTATAAAACATAGCTAAAAAATGTAAATTTGATTAGACAATCATAAAAGCACAGTCTATTGAAAAAAGCCTTTAAATGTCACCTGGAAACAACAAGAAATGACGGCTGTATTTAAGTTTATTTGCTCATAGTGAAAGCTACATTTTCTGCATAACCGGCAGCGTGAAAGTAAACCGTCCACTGAGACGTTCCCACACAGGTTTATTGCCGAACAGTTAAGAAAATGCAAGACTAAACCTGTGTTTTTGTCCTCTAGACATGCCAGATAACATATAATCTGTACAAAAGCTCAAATGCTTCAAATGTCACATGTTTCTGTCTGACTGCTACACATGTTTGCTTTAAACCAGTTTGAGGGGATTTATAACGTCAAATACCATCAAATATCACAGAGGCTTCTTAGAGGTGAAATTACATTTCTTTTTAGTTTTATGTGTTTTAAGTGACATAAATCTTAAAACACATTTTTACAAAAGGCTTTGTGCAACCTGTGTTGGACTTTGTAGTGTGTTCAGGCTACTGTTATTTTTTAAACTGATATAAAAATGACAACATATGCTCTACTTGATCTTCAGATTATGGTTTAAAGGCCAACTTTAGACATTACAAGTTCATGTTTGCATTTATAGAATGTGAAGGATTTCAAATTTGAAATACTTCGCAGTAGTGCAATTACTGAAAACTGCTTACTCCTCCACATTTGCTTTGTTGGTTTAATTTTACCCCACCTTAGCTTGAAGTACAGCAATAACATTCAACCCTTGGGCACGCACAGCTTCTTTTGACATTCAGCATCTAATAATGCTGAGACAATTTTCGTGATGTGACTTGTTGTAAAGGAGCCACATTTATATCTATAGAATCATATAAGGACTTCATTGTTCTGTTCAAGGTAGGAGCTAATCACTAACTTCTAATTATCAAACATTTTCCTTAATAAATTTAAAGCAGCTGATTTAGTTCTTTCTATTTAGCAAAGTTAATTCCAACCACAACACCATAAACGTGTTCAGTATGCAGATTCACAAGACACATTTCAGCTACACAGCATCTGTCAGTGTCTCCTCATGAAACCTAGAACATGATATCATACTTTATGATTCATTGTTATTCAGGAACTGCTGCTTAGCTATTCATTAATCAGCGCATAGCTTCTATTTTCTTTCCCAGGAATGTGTTCCTCTTATTGCTACATGACAACCTGTTAGACTTTCAAAACAGTGGAAACCATTCACCAAGTGATATGAGATGACATATATTGTGAAAAAATAAGATTGAATTGAACATAATTAAATTAATAAGGCCAATTTAGTTATCACCATGTTTAATTTTTGTCCTCAAATGTCCTTCAGGCAAGCAACAAGTCATGGCAGGTTTGTTTTGATTGCACTCGGATTGTACTGTAAAATTATCTTTTTCTGAATATTTGAACAGTTGCCATCAGATTTCTTTCACATACAAATGGTGCAGTAAAAACACAAGAGGCAACCTGAAACAACTTAAACAATGAGGACACTTTATGCATACCGTGAGAAACACAAGTGTGTAGCGCTTTGTGTTTAACAAGTCCATGTATTTTACACTGTAAAAATTTAAGTTACAATTGTAATTTTTGACCAATTTATTGTCATTTTACAGATTTTTCTAGTTGTATTAAATGAAAAGTAATAACTGGTAAAATGGCGTTTTATTTTTTAAAAAATGTACATGTTATTAAAAAAAAAAAGAAAAAAAAAAAAGGCGAGAACTGTAAATATTGTCCACATCAAAAATTACTATTTTTACAAATACAAATTTGTTCTTTTACAATGTTTGACTGTAACGTTACACTGTCTTACTGTATTTAAATCCACAAAAAATGTCATTACTTTGCAGATATTTGCTGTTATATACAACGTTTTTTTAACATTACAGTACAGCACCCTTGCTGCCAGATGTTCAGTATTGTTTCTACAGTGCATTATAGTTTAAAGGTTATTGCTTATATCCTCTTGTAGTTTTATATTATGGCCTTTATAGTAGGCTGACCTCTCCATGTCCCGTTTACTTTGCCTCATTAAGCTCACCAAGAGTACACATTTTCCACCCTGTTACAATGTTTGTTCTCTGATCCTCTTACATCATGTCATTGATTTCCATTATCTCTGATAGGTCCTACTGAAATAGTCTGCAGTGATGGATTCCCCAGAGTTCTCCCTATTGTCGTCCTTGAGGGGAGAGTTTAAATCAGAGGACTACATCCAGCCTCACTATAAGGAGGCGTACCGCCTGGCGATTGACTGCCTGGTGAGAAACGGCAGAGACAGTTACCAGGAGTTTCTCAAGGGAGAACGTATCGGGGGCTTCCTGTCAGAGGATGAGCTTCTCTTCATCACTGAAAACGCAGAGCAGCTACCACCTCAAAGTCACGCAGAGGAAACCAACGGAGCACCAGACACTCAATCATCCTCAGGGACGTACTGGCCCGTGCACTCGGATGTGGCTGCACCAGATTTGGACTTGGGATGGCCTGAGGTCATGCACGAAAAACTGCAGACAAATATAGATCTGCTCTATCATCCACCCAGACAAAACACTCCAACTGTCAAAGAGGTGATCCGAAAGCATATTCAGGATGCAAGACAGGTAATCAAGCTTCCCGCAACAATGTGCAACGACAGACACACAAATACACAACACTGTGATGTGGTCACACTGATAAAATTTTGTCTCGGAGCTCCTCCGCAGTGTATCGCAAGCGATTTCCCCTGCAGGCTGTTCCACAGACATCTGTTGCTCTCAGTTTTCCGAGCCAAGGAGTGTCTGCTGGGGTGGCTGAGGTCAAAATCTGGTTCTGCAACTCCTATCATGTGAAGGGAACCACATTTACAGTACTAGCACAACATTGGAGTCATTTTCTTTACACAGTCATGCCTCAGTTGATTTTTGGACTGTGATGAAATGAATCATCATTTTATTGCTCAAAATATTGGTTAGTATGCTTCAACTCTATTGGAGCTGTGCTGGCAATGAATTAAACCAGCGCACACAGCAGAAGACTCGATCTATTTCTGTTTATCTCTCTATTTCCATGAGTAGTCTCATGTAAAATTAATCAAACTGAATTCAGATCTTGTCATTAAACACAACAGCTGCAATGTATCCTGGCTGTCGAAATAGTTGAATTCAACAGAGTTTCATAATATTGACTTGAATGTATTCATTTCTTGAATGTTGCATAGATGATTAAGACTGAGTAATACTTCTTGTGGTTCATCTAAGGGGCAGATACATACAACTTCACAGGAAATTAAAAGAGGAAAAGAAATTAGTTTAAGCAACACGCATTGTAGTCCGTCATGAGTTCATTACATGCTACAGGAACATGTTGTGGCTTTATAACGTTTCATTTGTAGACTGCCTGAGCTTTAAATGGAATTATAGCAGAGACATAAATGACTTTTACTTGGTCCTTCAATATGCAAAAAAATAAATAACTAAACAAATAATCAGGTGGTATAGAAATAGATTTCTTCATTTCACTTTATTGATCACAGGACAGTCATGTTGGCTACCTTCACTGCTTATACAACAACTGTTCCTTTGTCAGTTTGTAGCTGTCAGACTCACAGTTACAGTTCATGCTTATGTCATTCACAGATTTGTCAAGTGCACACTGATTAAATGCTCGGTACTCCCTCCGGCCTTTGGAATGTTAAATTGATCATGATTTCTTCATTTTGTCCTCACAGGTTGTTGCCATTGTGATGGACATGTTCACTGATGTCGACATATTCAAAGAAACCGTCGACGCTTCTATACGAGGAGTCCCAGTCTACGTGCTTTTGGACGACTTCCATTTGAAAAGTTTCCTCAAAATGGCTGAAAACCAAGACGTAAAACTTCAACAGCTGAGAGTAAGTGCATGTTATAAAGCATTTATTTGATCCATAAATGTATTTTTCTTGATTCTAACGTGTACGTAAATATGTTGATGATGATGTAATGTGGATTATTTTAAAGTGATGCTATTGAAAAAAGATAGTGAAAGAAATCACATTCAGATGAGCGTTTGTCTATTTTAATCATTCACATTTATATTCCAGATAAAAGATGTTCTCTTCACACATCATGACCTTTATGAAGGCTCTAGTTATGAAAACCTGGTTGCTCCTGTTTATTGGGTGGAGTCATAATTATTGGCACGAGATAGTAAGGATTCAAACACACCCTTAAACTTTCCATTAGGTGCACCATTACATGCCAGTAACAACAAAAACAACAACTCAAGGACTCAACAAAAACATCAGAATGACCTTATCTGCCCACTGCATATTATTCTTCTCAGATGTTTGACTGATGATGGATATACTTAACGCCTTTTGTAAAACTAACTACGATAAATATGATGTAATATTTTCCTTTACTGTCCTCTCCACAGAACATGAGGGTGCGCACCGTGAAAGGTCAGGATTACCTCTGTCGATCAGGAGCTAAATTTCATGGGGCAATGGGGCAGAAGTTTCTTTTGGTCGACTGCCACACTGCATTTTATGGCTCATACAGGTAAATAAAAACGTAGGACAATAGAAACTGCTTTTCAGATCACTGAGGTGTGCACTCAATGCTTTTATAAAGCAAAACACTGCATTTACTGTCGTTCTTTAAAAATTGCTGTCATCAGTTCTTATAGATCCCTTATGAAACTGTCTGTGACTGAATATTGTTTATGAATGTGAATTTTTCACAGGAAAGAAAATAATATTTTAGTACAGCAGGTTTTTTTTCTCTCTGACTGAAACCTTCTGAAATTCTCAATATTAATTTGGTTTATGTCTTTTCTTATTAACCCCAACACATGAAGATGTGTTTTAAGAGAATTATGCCACACATCAATTTGTCCTCATCGCATTAAATGAATAAATATTCATGTTTGTTCACAGCTTCACTTGGTCGTTTGAGAAGATCAATCTGAGCATGGTGCAGGTCATCACGGGCCATCTGGTGAAGTCCTATGATGAGGAGTTTCGAACACTCTACGCCCGCTCGACTGTGCCAGCTGAGCTGTGTTCCCCGGAGGCCTTGTTTCAGCGCAACGGGCCACATGGGCTTCTGCCAACATCTCATTCTGCCCCAAAAATCGAGCGCAGCAACCAGTTGAGACACACTCTGGACACAGTCTATCGGAAAACCTGCGAGAGAAAACTTGGCGGCAGACATTTTGAAGACAGGCTGCTTGAAGAGGAAGACAGCACACTTGGGCCCATGATTGAGAATGGCATCGGTGTTCACAATCACATACCTCAATTTCAGTCCCCGGAGACAGCAAACTTCTTGAAACGGCACAGCTACGCTGGCGAGAGACAAGACGGGTTGATCCCACAGAACATCAGGCCAAGAGCGAGCAACTGGAATATATCTAGAGATACAGTAAACGGACCAAACAACTACTCTATGGACAATTATTTACAAATGCCGCAGATACACAGAGGTCAAAACATGCGTCAGTCGTACAATGGCAATGACAAACAGGTGCTTACTATGCAGCAGAACATGCCAACCCTGGAGAACACTTCCAAATCATTCATGCGCACATGGAGGATTGAATCTTACCTTAAAAACCCTGATGTCTCTTTTGGAAGCTCTTGTGACTATTTGGACCAGTTTGAACATCAGGACAAGGCTAACAACTTCATGCAGGGAAGAATGAGATCCTCTCTAGTTTTCAGATCCACCATACCTGAACAAATGGAGCCAAACACACACGTAAACAACACTCCCGCTGGTCTCAGTCCCTCGGCAGCCACAAACACTCCTTTTCACTACTCATCGATGCAGTGGAGTCCAGCGGCGGCAGCTGACGGCAGAATGAACAATGACGAGTTCATGTTAAAGAGGCAAAATTCTCAGATTTTGGACGACTTTCAAAATAACACAGGTTACGGCCCAGGTAGAGACTCTTACCACTCTACATATGCCAGCTTAGGCAGAAAGAAAGGCACACAGATCATTACAAACCCTGACCTCCTGACAGACAGCTGGAACAAAAGGCATAGTGTGGCAGATCCAAGATCAAACGCTGAGTACATGCATGAATCATCAGGTCACATGCGTGGTGCTTTTACAAGGAAGCAAGTAAACCGAAGCACAGTAGGGATCAATGAACATAATGGGGGATATGGGTCAAATCTGAATGAAGATCAGAGGTCTGTCTCTCATTATGATGTCAAGAGTATCACAAGCACAAAGAGCCCCAATGCTCACAACTGGCAGGATCCGCCGTGCAGGACTGTGTCTGCAGCAGCCCTGGATGCCAATAGCAAGGATTTGAAAGACAAGTCGAACAGCGTGAGCTCTCATTCATCTCAGCATTTCCTGAAGAAGAGCTCCAAGAAAATAAAATCCTTGTTGAACATACCAGAGAAAAAAGAGAGTTCGATCAGAGCCATGGAATCACTGAGTCTCAAATCAGGGGAAAGCACAGACACCTTAACTGCCGAGGATGACGAGAAAACGTCATACGGCGGACGAAACCTTCACCACAGCACAACCAATTCAGTCAGGGTCTCTTCACGGTACCAGGTAAACGGGCTGGACGACGACCACTTGAAGTCTTCAAAACCACGATTCACGACTGAGGAACTACAAGATCCACCGCAGATGTGTCTCCCCAAAACCAGCACGCAGAGGAAGCCCATCGGTCCTGACAAAAGCGTGAGGCCTGGCCTCGACGCGGGCAGCTGGAGCAGAGATCGAGGAGCTGAGCATCGCATGTACAGCAGGTTTGAGCCTTTCTGCTCACTGGAAAAGAAACCCTCTCTACGCACTACACACAGCTTTGGAAACACACACTCTCAGGAGAAAACCAAAGGCCTTTTGAAAGGTGAGACGGCTGCTGAACACAACTTCACTCGGGCTTCACGAGGGCAACACGAGAATAAGCTGGAGAAATTCTTTCACAGAATGGGAAGCCTCATAAACAAGAACAAGTAGCGACAAATCTACACAGGTCACTTCAAACTAAAGCACACTGGACTGGTGATGTTTGCAGGTGTATTATTGGTATTTTCTGCATTTACTTTAAAAGATATTTTTAGGAAAAAGTTTACATTTAAACCTTTGCTTAGTTTGATGTGTTCGGATGCACTGATGAATGTCAATAAAAGGAGAACATATTTAATATGAATATATACATCAGATCTTTCTTTGTGTTCATAATATGACTGTTAAACTGTCTGTCCTCAGCTGGCGTCAACCTCCGCCATAAATTCAAACCCTGTCAAAAAATAATTGCGGATGCATTTGTGAGTGTCATATGTACAGAATTTATTGCTGCAAATGTAGTGTGCATACCAGAGGGTTGTTATTATAGTCACAGGGTAATTCTACTTTAGCGTTGATGGCAAAACAAGGTAAAGACATCGGTATGCAAAATAACTGAACTTGATGAAAAACATCCCAACAGGCCTTAATGCACCACATCTTTATCATTTATTTGTCAGACAGGTTGTATGAATGCGAAGGGGGTTCAAATAAAGTTGTAAAGTACATGTTTTGTTTTCCTGTAATAAAGTTTTGCACAATCTTTTCCTTTATTAAGGCTTTCTTCTTCAAAAGTTGCCATCCAAGGATTTGGTTTATTTAAGGAGCACTGTACTTTAAGGCACGATTCCCTGCCCACTAAAAGAAAAAATACAGTACATGTGCCCTCAGCAGACACTCAGGGATGACTCAAGGATTTCACCTTAGCAGGGGTTCCATACTTTACTCATGGTTTAATTCTGTCTCTAGGGTAGACATTGATTTTTCTATGTTTCTCAATGTTTTTTTCCAATTATGTTGTGATGACGAACATAACTGAATGCGTTCTGTTCAGCAGCAATGTTCTTTTAAATAAATGCCGCACTGGAAATGTTCAGCGGTGGTTAGGGTTGAGGGTGAGTATACAACAGTGGAGACTGTGCCAAAGCATAATTATAAAGACAATGAATAATGCTTCAGTCAGAAGAAGGAAACATTGAACTGCATGATTTGCTATTTTTTGAAGAAAACGAACTCATTTTTGTGTCAGTCATTTTGCTTATATGTGCAGGATCACAGTTTTGTAACCAAATATGTCCATTAACTACATTTAATGAGAAAAACCTATTAACATTGTTAACTGAAGACATAACTTGGTCAGCTTTCTGTTTTGTTCACAACCTATTACCTCAGTAGCTGAATAATAATAATAGAATAAAGGTATTTTCTAGGAAACAATGTGATAGATTTCAGAGAGCAACAAGGCCTCCAGCCTAAAACATTTCCAAATGATTATTCAGTGGTATTTTAAAGTTTCGTTTTAATGTAGTCCTCCCCTGGGTCAGATTATTGAAAAGGTAGTGGATATTTTTTTAACACAGAAGATCCATTTTAGTGTAATTTCTCCTGATGATTCTGATAAAATAGTGCTAGAAATTGTAGATGAGAACTAGATTGGTTCTTTCTGCTAAAATAGTATGCTCATTTTGTTGAATTTCTTTTGGCAATTGATAAAAATGAGGAAAAGAACATTTGCAAAAGAAATGAGCAGGGGAGTGATTTACTCCACTTGTGATTGCACAAGGGAAAAAGTTGAGTAACTTTTTGACTGAGCTTAGCTCATAGTTTTACTGTTCCTTCCTAAATGACAGGATGAAGCTGACAGAGAAATATTTCAAACATTTCACTTAGACTAAAATGTGTTGCGTGTTGAAAAAAGAACACAATGGAAAAGTGTACGCACGAGCAACATTTTACAACAAAAAATCAAACCACATCATTCACGCAGCTGGTTATTAAAAGAATATTAAAGAAAGTTAGAAAAGGTATCTGAAACAAATAAACTGAAGACTAAAAGGGATCAGCACAGATGGAATAATAAAATGTAAAAAAAAAATCTAAAGAAAATCTACAGATTGGAGAAATGTATTGTGTAATGTAATGTGACTTTTCTTGTGTCATTCAGACATGATGAAAAAATGTATTGCACTGTATGAAGTGCTCTGTCAACACGTAAAAAGGTTGTGTTCACTGCCTCGTCTCCGGTTGTTAATTATATGATGTAAAGCATCCTCCGAGACAGAGCCTTGAGGTCTTATGCTTACTTTGAAGTTCAGTTCTTTGGAGTATGAAAAATAATGAACTGTTCTAAACCTGTCATCTATGGAGCTTTATTTGATCCCAGCAGAGATGAAATTATCTTAAATAGGTAGAAAATGACATTACAAAAACATATAGAAAATTACAGTGATTAAAGATTCATGTAATTAGTTTCTCTGTGTAATCACAAATATGTGGTGAAAGGCAGTCGTTGGGCATCTGTTTAAGCCTAAATCACCTCCTACAGCACGAGTAATTTGGCAAAGAAAAAACAAATACAGACCTGTCACTAACTGTAATAACGAAATAATGATACATAAATAATACTGTAAAACTCAACATGAGGGACTCTGCCTTTGCCTTGCTCCAACATCCAACTGCACAACACTATCATATCATCAGTTATTATAACAAACAGCAGCTGTATGCACAGAGAACCTTTAGGTTAGACTAACACTGTGCGATATGGATGACACTGGTCAGGAACTTCAGGCGTCATCCTCAGCTCACCTGTCCTCATAGAACTGGGCTCACAGTAAGCAATATTTGTCACTTGTACACAGCCAATAACTGTATTTAGGTTTCTAGTGCACAATACATATAGTGCATGCATTGTTGTACAATGGATAAACAATAAACAAACCTCTGCAATCAGAGTTATTCCACCACTTTAAACTTCACTTTAATCAATGAATAAATAAATAAAGTTAAAAGAAAGTTTAATCATAGGGATGTTAAAGCTTTGTAAGAAAGATCAATATAGTTTTCTCTATAAAGGCCTATAATCAAAAGTATTCAGCTGCCACAGTCAGTATTTGAACTTCAATAAAAACTTTGGAAAGTTTCCAACATACTTCTCGCACCTCTGTTTTGGAAGCCCTACTCTTAAAATCATTTAACACACACACACGCACACACACACACACACACACACACACACACACAATGTGTAACCATGTACTCAGCAGGGTATTCAACCACTCTGCAAAGGTTTGTGTAGCCCTAATACAATTTTGTATTTTATAAGTATGTACAGTATGTATCCCTTGAGGATAATTCAACCAAATCCTATCCTTTTTTCTAGCAGTCCCACTCCTCAGAGATACGACTCTACTGCTGCCTGCCAACTGACTTCTTGTTAAAAAAAAGCGCACAAAAACATGTAAATCACTTATTTGAATGACAGACACAATTTCCTTTTGGTAACAATAACTAAGCTTCCATATTTAGATTTCCTATCAATCAGCGTATGAATTTAATTTGACAACAACCCCACCGCAGCCTCAACAGCGTGAGAAGTCTGATCATAACCAAAGCTAAGCCCAAAGCTATGAACACTAAAGCGCAACACCATAAGAAGTTAGTGCCAACACCAGCTTAACGCAGCAAATGAGCAGATGCCTTCACTCACCTGACACTGCAGATTAAGTGACAACTGCTGGCAAGTCATGATAAATAGGTCAAATAGTTCAAACGCAGAGGCCAGCTGCTCCTGAGTGAATGTACCACTGTCACAAATCTTATCCCTTTCTCTCTCCTCCATCCTAGTGCAAAAGGAAATGTAAAAGCAATATATATTCGCCAAAAAAAGCTACAATATATGATGCAGAGATCCTCCTCCACTCTGTTTACAATGTATGCTCTCACTTTGTTGACAATCTTGAGCATGCGAGACAACAAACTTTTTGGATACAACAAAAATACACCCTCTTCCTGTTGATAGTGAGCCTGACAATGCTGCTGATATTCCAGCGAGGCTTATTGAAATGCAGCTGCTCCAGTCATTGAATTCTCCACATGGGTGAATAAATATGGCCCTCTGTCACATTGCTCTTGCATAAGAGAAGGGACAGAAAAGAAAGAAGGTCCTGCTCACATGGTCCTTTTGTGGCATGATTGTCTCCTGACCACTATAAGTTTTGGAAAATCCAGCAGGTGGCTGCGTCTGCCGTGGAGTTTAGTTTGAATGGACAAATAAAAGAGGGTTTGTCTCCTTTTTATGTCTGCAGACAGACATACAAAGATGAATTGTGTCCAGGGAGACAAACGAATAATAGATCAACAGGTTTCAAAACTTTCCAACTATTTAAACATCTGAAATAGTGATGCTGTGAGAAGTGTTTTTAGTAGCTGACTGATAAATGCTGAATGGCCTATTATCAACACATTTTTCTCTTTTTGAAGATTTCTCCCATTAACATGAATATTTACACAAACTTGTGCTCCAACAGGCATTTTAAGTGTTTCACACAATGCTGATCCCATCTTTAACAAGTTGCACACATCATATTTGGAAGAATTTCAGTGCAGCTTCATGTGTAGCAGGATAGTCTTGGGCTTGTAAGCCAAACGTGGCGCATTAGCCGACTATAAAAGGCGAGTTATGGCCCTCTGCACGCTCTCCCTCCCACTAAGGCCAAGGATGCGCCCCTTCCGGTCGCTTCACTTCTGGTTCTTCGCCGACTTCAAACATTTGCGGGAAATGAGCTGGTTTGATGGCTCCTTAACTTGATGCAGATTCCTGCTGGTAGGTCACGCTTCGCTTCTCCATGTAGTTTATTCAGGCCAGGATGCTACGCACATGCTAAAATGCACGCTCTGATTATAGGAAGCTACACGGGGGCAAATGACGTGCATATACACAAACGAACTGCATATACATGAATGTGTTGCATAAACAGAAACGTGTTTGCAGCGCCTTTCTGTGTATGGAGCATTTTTGTTTTGCAGCGCGTTTCTGTTTATGCAAGGCATTCATGTATATGCAGCTCATTTGTGTATATGCACGTCATTTGCCCTGGTCGGCCACTGTAGAGCACTCCTGACACGCTCTCCCTTGTAGGTGTTTGACACGTTGCCTTCTGTAAGTAGGTAGCTTATTATTGTTAGACACGTTCTCTCAAGTTTGTGTTTTAAACAAGTTTTCTGCTTGTCTTCTGCAGCGTTTAGTGGCTGTACTGGAGAGACAAGGCAGCTACTTGGCTCGGCTCATCACAAATACTGTCTTGTCATTCGGTAGTTACTCTGAGGAGCGCGAGCTGGTTGTTACAGTGCAGCTTTATGGGGACGGGGTGAACAGAGTATTGTGGTAATGTTAGTGATGGGAGCGGCTGGAACATAAAACAAGCACAGCTCTTCTCTCACTTCCACTCTGCACTTATGGACACTCTGAGACGGTGAGCGTCAAATTCAAACGTGCGGTAAATTGAACCCAAATGAGTTACTGATATGTTTTATCTTAACTCATAGATTTAGCTGTTATCTTTAGTTCATCATTTAACATTTTGATGACAAAAAGTTGATTTTATTTGGTAGAGAAGCTCATGAAATGTGCCAACTAGATGGTAAATAACCGTCACAGGGTTCCTGCATTAATGATTTTGTGACAAAGGATCTTGCTACGGTGTGTTTTTTACTTTTTTTCTTTTTTTGAAACAAGGAAAATATGGTAATGTTAAATGAAGACACTTTACAC